TATATATTCAGATGATTCCTTTTTTATCTTTTTCTTTTCTTTTTCATTTCGATAAAATCTACATGATGGTAATAATATGGTTGCAAAATGAAGTAACTAGACAACTAAAAAACAATCGAATTATCGTTGACAAAAATAATATTGTAGTATTTTATTTATGTAAATAATTATTATAAAAAATAATGAATATCTTTGTGAGATAGCACACGTTTAGATGCATGTATAAATGAACTAGATAGATTATTTTTTTTTAGAATAATTAGCGTGAAATTATGCGACCACGTATTTGATTAATATACAATAGGAATTGACATTTGATCGAGAAAAAGTTAAACGTATAACCATATGATTTCATTGAATTTTATTAATTTTTTAATCCGAGAGATTGGATTATTTATAGATAATAATTTTACGAACATTTTCGAATAAAGTAAAACTATATACCATGGCATTTGATAATTTTTTTAAAAATACCTATACTTATTATGTATACTTCTAATATCATGTCTAATGTGTGTATGTATCTTTAATACCATGTATATAATTTTTTGTATTTTTAATACAATTTATAATTTCTTTATATCTGTAAACCATTTGCAATGTTTTCATATTTTACCATATGCAGCTCTCGTATATTATTATTAATAATACCCCATACGTACATTTTATATATTAATAATTCTCTTAATACCATAGTTCATTTTTCAATACTCGTAACAACCGTATATAATTTCATCTTGAATCACACGTTGGTAGTAAAAAATAAAATCTGAACAGAATTTAATCAAAAAAAAAAAACAAAAACAATAAAACAATCAACTAAAATTCTCTATCAAACGTTACTTTCTAAATCAACAATTTACAAAATTAAACTACTTACTAATTAATCATAAATTTGCAAAATATAAATCCGTAAAGATCAATTCGTTCGAGTTTAATTTGAATCCGTCAGAAAAATATCGTAACGAAGTGGCACTCGTTAGTGCGAAACACGTTAACACATTGAACAAAGTATATGTAAAAGGTAAAAGATCCTCAACTTTATACATATATACATATATATATATATTTGTCTATGTTTACGCGCATGTGTAGAAGAAGAACTCGCTTTTGGGGCCCGGTCATTCACTTCTGCAGGCACAAGTATACCTCTCACCCCCTTTCCCACCCCCTTACCCACCTTCTCTCCCTCTCTCTCTTTCAATTCATCAATCTATCTATCTCTCTCTCTCTCTCTTTCTCTTTCTTTCTTTCATTCTGTTATTTCTCTACCCTTTCTCTTCCTTCTCGTTCTCCATTCGAAATGCGCAGTAAACAAACCACAGTCCGTTTACCTCACTTTACCGAGCAACAGATTCCGATCTTCTACCATTTCCACCTCTTTCTTCCTCTTCTTCTTCCTCTTCTTCTTATTGTTCTTTTTTTTTATATTTTCTTCTCTTTCTTTCGTATATTTTTCGCGATATTCTTTCGCACGCGTTCGCCACATTTCAAAACGTCACTCGGTGTGAAGAAGAACGCGTCTTCTTCTTTTTCTTCTTACTTTTATATTTTTTCTCTCTCTCTCTCTCTCTTTTCATCTTATTTTTTACCTGTCCATATTTTTGTTGTTTTTTCTTTTTCATTCAATTTTTATTTTTTTTTTTACCCTCGCATTTACAACTTTCTTTCTTCCCCCCTTTCTTCACTCTCTGCCAAATGCAACGCCATTCGGCATTTTTTTTCCGCCAGAATGAGAAAGGACGATAATAATAAGGGGGAAGAGGAGGGTGGGAGGAAGAGGGGAGGGGAACAGAATGACGGAAACATTATTTTTGACCTTAGTGGAATTTCAAAGTAAAACGATTAACGAATACATCCACGAAAGTGGCACGAATTTTATGAAAAAGACGAATAATTATTGGAACAACAATAAAAATAATAATAATGATAATAATGATAATAATAAAAAACGCAAATTGAAACTTGTTCGCAATCTTTCGAGTCGAACGAACCTCTAATTAAGATTAAGAAAATAGATATTCCTCTCTCTCTCTCTCTCTCTCTCTCTCTCTTTTTCTATCTGATCGCAATTTTATGATTAATTAAATAAGAATTAGAAGATATTTTCTATCTGTCTACGAACCGAATCGAAATTATCGAAGTAAGAGAGTTGTTTTATTTCTTTTTTTTTTTTTTCTTTTATGGGATTTCACCGCTGACTGACTATCGTGTTGTTTTTTTTGTGTATCATGGTAATTTCTTTTATTTTATCGATTGGTTATAGGTATTCGAAATGGTAGGAATGTCTCATTTGGAATTTTTAAAATAACATGTCAGTATTACGTAACGAAGAAATTTGGATGTTTCGATCGTAGTAGAAGTTTTTTTTTTTCCCCACGAACGATCATAACAACCGAAAAATACTTTTTTGTTTGTGTGCTTGATATTATAATTTATTATAATGTAATATACTTATTAAAAAAAAAGTAATACGAATCTAGAGACACGATGTTAATTTATTTGATTAATATTATTAGGATTAGTGTATATAAAATTAAATATACATATATATATGGGTATTTGAATGAGAATT